CTAGTTTTGGCTTAGAAACTTATTTAATTTCTTCACTTCACATCAAAATTGAATCAAATTCACATTCAACTGCCTTGTTTCATTAACAAATACTATCAAACCACATTAGGTACATATTCAAAAAAAATTCATTTTCAATAATAAATATTATTCGATCATATCATATTCGTATCAAAGTACAACACACATATCAAATCAATCACCTTTCTTTTATTTTATTAGTATCATTTCCCTCTACCTGTATTCTTAGGCCCCATAGAGGTTCCCTCACACGTGGATACTAATATTTCTTTTACAATTATCGATCGTTCCTACACTCCATCTAGTAATAGGCGTTACTTTTTCTGGCTAACTTCATATCTCTTCCGATATGAGTGCCACTTTTACCAGTTGGGCTCGAACCCTGTCCGATATGGGTGCCATTAACGATTTTCCAACCCCGTTTCAGTATGAAACTTCCCAATCCCATACGATTGAGGGTCATATTTACGGTAGGGTTTGTCCTATATACTCCCTCTATGATATCCGATAATGTAACGCCCACTAATTTTATAATTTTTATTATTATTATTATTAATTTTTTTATTTATTTTATTTAGTTTATTTTATAATTTTTGAATTTTAATTGATTTATTTAATTTAATAAAAATAAAAATAATAATAGTGATAAAATTGGGTAAAAATATTATTTGGATTTAATTGAAATTTATTTTGGGAAAAAGTGGTGAAAATTAGGATTCTGGAGGTATTTTTGAAAAAAAAAACGGAAACCGGGGGTCAAAACGCAATTTAGAAAAATTGTGCCCCGTCAGCGCCACGTCAGCAGCCACGTCAGCGGCCCAGTCAGCAGCCCTGACCAACCAGGACCTGCCGCGTGGCAAGACCACGTCGACCCGGGAACATACCACGTGGGCGATCCGCGTGCACGCGATCGGACGGCCCAGATGCGTCCCCGCGCGCACGGACGGCCCAGATCAAGCTTGCGCACGGACGGCCCAGATGCACGCGCACGGACGGTCCAGATTTAATCAAGTACGAACGGCCCACATTTAATCAAGATGGACGGCTGTGATTAAAAGGCAAAATGGTATAAATAAAACCCCCACACCTGACCACAAAAACCCTAGCTGTCTGCCCTCGCCGGAGAAGACGAACCAGACGCCGAAGGAGCCGGCCGCCGCCACCCGCCGCCGCACCGGAGAGTTTTCGGACAGCCGATCGAGGTAAATTTCATACCCCCAGCTCGTTTTTCAATGCTGAGTTCCTCTGTGGCCAAATCGGAGCCAAACTCCCGGCCAAACAGCCGGAAAACACGACCGAAACCCAGCGGCGCCGCCGCGCCCCTCCTCAATTTTTGCCTCCGATGAGGCCCTTCCCAGCCTCCGTTTGATACAATTTTTATATCACTGTGATCACCATTCTTTTCTCTACAAGTTGATTGGAGCCAAATCACCAAAACACGAACCTCGCCGGAGAGCCGCCGCACCCGAGAGCACCGCTGCCGGTAAGCTTCGGTTTTTTGTAATTTTTTGGCCCCCCGATGGCCCTAGGGTTGTTTTATCGCAGGGACCGATGCAAGTGTGGCCGAATTCGGTCAGAAACGGCCAAAAACGGCCAACTCGAGGCTAATCGCCGCCGCAAGCGGCGGAGCCGCCGTGCCGGAATTACGATATTGGCCGAAAGGGGCCACGGGTCTAATTTGAGATTTTTTTTGGGACACGTGCAGGTACCAGTAGTGCGTTTCAGTTCCCCAGAAAAAATTCAAAGAAAATTAGGGACAGCCTGTAGGCGCACTGTAGAGCCGTATTCAAACCCCGAAAACAAGTAAAGACCCTTCACCCTATTTCCTATCACGGTATTAAAGTTCAATAAATGATAAAACAGTATTTTATGAATCAATATATGTGTGAAATTGTTTAAGGTCGCTAATGGAGCCCAAGTTTGGTGTGTTTGTCGGTCAGCTGTTGTTTGGCCTATTTTACAGTTTTAAATACAGTATGGGGTCTGATGTTTTTATTTCATAGTTTCGTGTGCATATATCACGGTTTTATTGATTATGGGTTGAATGACTGAGAACCCAATGTTGTATGTTGTCTTGTTTGGCATAAATTACTGGTTTGCCTGTTTGTGTGTGAATTGATGATGCTGACTGAGGAAAAGGGGAATGAAAAGTTATGTAAATTGATAATTATATAATGTGGTCAGCCTGACTAGATATCCTGGGAGATGGTGGACGGACCGGGTCTGTAGGGAACCCTACCAGGATTGTGGTCTCTCATACCGAACGGGGTATGGAGACCTTATGTGTTTTGACGCCCATACCGGACGGGGTATGGGGACGGCCCTATAATCTGATTACAAGTGTTAAGGGTTCACGGGTAGCGGAACCCCTATGGATCCCCATGGATACTAGTAGGCTGGTAAATGATGAAAAATATGTTGTGTAATGATTGAATTGCAAAAAGCGTGATAAGTATTATGTTATACAGTTCATATGATTTCATGATGATGATAATGTTATTGCTTTCGTATGTTGTTTTATGAATTTCACCGAGATAAATGGATAGTAAAGGATTTTATTATTGATAAAAGAATTTGTTGTAAATTATGCTCCATTGATCTTTTTGTGTTTTCTACCCACCTTTACCTCCGTGACGGTGAGATAGTGTGATGTCTTTACTGGGCTGGTGTACTTCATTTCTTATTTAATCATTTCAGATCAGGAAGACATTGTTCCTGAGCCCGTTCTGCAGGAAGACGGCGAAGGAGACGCCTGAAGACTCCATAGTTATATTTATAGCTTTTATTTTCGAGTTTATCTTTTAGTTAGTTTGTTCTTTTATATTTTGAGTACATTTTTGGTTTTAGTGTAAGGAATGTTAATCAAAATTTCTATTATACTTCCGCATTTGACATTTTTAATACACATATTTCATTTTAAAATTCCGGGATCATTACAGATAATGGTTTTATTAATTTCAATTATCATATTCTATTTTCCATTTACAACCAACCCCGCAACATGTAAATATTCAATCAAGTTCATATAACTTTTTATTTCCAACCATTGAAATTTCAACACGTACATCAGAAAATGATGCTAGAATACGTAATTCATAATTAAATACACACTGAAAGATAATTAATCACCAATAGGATAAAACGAAAACAATAAAAATAAACAACTATAACCTACAAAACAAACAAGATAAAACGATTAACATAAATTCAAATAATACATAATGAAATAGAATTTAAATTAAACAAAATAGTAAAACATAATAATAAAATAAAATGATATAAATAAAATAAAATAATTAATAAAATATAAAATAGCAATTAAAATAGATAAAATAATAGAACATGATAATATAATAGAATACTATGAAATAAAATAAAATAATTAAAATAAAGTAATTAATCATCGATGACATGTAACCGAATTAACAAATAACAATAGATTCTTTTTTTTTTTTTTTAATTAGGCGAAGGCTTTGATTAAACCACCATTGGGGAAGGATTAGGATTAGGGTATGTATATATTCATCACATAACATTATGATGCACACACTCCCAATGGATACATACATACACCCACACATCCTGAACCATTCACATAAACAGCCATGAACGACCTTTTTTGAATGTTAACCCGCAACGGTATATCAATCCATAATGACATACGAGATATCAAATAATAAAAACAAACGTATATAATTAATCATATATTAAGAATGTACGAAATTGATTTAAAATATCAATATCGACACCTTACATGAAATATAATCCAAAATTATAATTAATCTAACTTATTTAAGGTCAAACATCGATCAAATGATTACGGAGAGGATTCGAGTATCCTTACTGGAGTTAGAAACCGATCGTATTTTAACTGTGTCAAACTAGAATCTACATAATTAAATTATATAACATTACTTTTTATATTTTTTAATAAAAAATTATATATTTTATTAATTATGTGATACATATATGAATTATAATATAAGGATACACTAATATAAAATAATATAACTGAAGAAGAAAAATAGTTAATAATTAATTTTTTTTGCACTCAATTTTGTTAGTAGGACTCAAACAAGAATTATTCATATTAGGAAAATAGGAAATGCATATTTCTCCTTTATAAAATTACTGGTTAACATTAATAGAAGTTGTGGGTACCTTTTTGTAGTAAGAATTAAAAGTATTTTTATGTATATTAAAATTATTATTTCTAAATAATAGTAATAATACTAAGCGAATGAAGTCTTTTTTGAATTAAGAAAATAAAGTTAAAAGAAAACAACAAAAGAGAACAAATAAAGAATTACATAAAGTAGCCGTTAAACGCTTCCCTGCCATTCAAATTCAAAACCCTCCGCTTTAATTTGTTTCTTTTTCTTCTTTTAAATCCTCCACTTTCCATCTCCTACACCAATCCCAACCCAACCCCTACAGAAATGCCACCGGCACAACACGCAGTTCCCGGAGATCAGAAACTCCGGCCAAAATCAGCCCGCAAACCTCTCCAGCCGAAAAATTCCTTCTCCATCGAGACCCCAGACGCCAACACCAACGTAAAATCGAAGCAAGAATGGGCGGAGATCTCTCTCGGCACAGAATCCAACAAGGAGAACCATCCGATCTACGTCACACCTGCCAAGATCCAACCATTCGATGCGTCGCTTGCGGAGGAGCTCAGTGCCATCAGGAAGAAGCTCGAGCGGTTGAGATTGGACAGAGAGAAAACAGAGAAGATGCTGAATGAGAGGACTACTGTTCTGGATATGCAAATGGAGGAGCTGCTACACAGAGGGGAGATCCAGAAGATGCTCGAGATTGAAGTTGATAGGTTGTACAGATTGAGGGAACTCAAGCTCTACTGTATGGTAAGATGAGAAGGATACACCAGAATGAAAATGAAGCTTCCTACTATATCTTATATATATATATATGTATTGTACTTACTGCTCTGATTTTCTTTCAGAAAATTTCCCCAATTCGTTCTCTAAGAGATAAGCAACGAGAGAAAAGGAATTTCATTGATGAAACACGATTGCAGGTAAATTTCCATTGACAATGTTGTGTGAAAGAATCTCTTTGGCATATCACTGAAAACAAGTTCGAATATCCAGGAATCCAGAGCTGAGGATCTAGAGGAATCCGTAGGGGAAAACATATTGCAGAGCTCAGGTTCCAGTTCACCAGAAGTTAGTTCAAAAGAAGATCTGGTTTGAAAAAGGAAAATAATATTATAATACCTCATTATAGTTGATGGGTTTGAGAATTCAAAAGGGGTTTTTGAGTTGTTTTGGCTCCAGCAGTCGTCTTTTATTGTATCTGTGACCGAGAAAGCTTTTGTAATTGCTTCTGAAAATTAATGGCTTATATACAAAGAAAGATAGATAGGCTGGGATTGTTGGGTAAAAATTTCAGTCCATCTCCATTCCAATTATGTATGAAAATCAGAAAACAAAAATATTTTCTTGATTTTATTTTACTACAAGAATATCCATTCATTTAGTAATATAATAATTAATATTATAATAGATGACATTCCATTCTAAAATTTTTAGTAAGTAAATTTAATAAAATAAGAGAACATATACTTATGTAGATTTTGAAGTTATTCAATTTGCTCTTTATTTCTAAATGTGCAGCCTTCATAGTAGCTTCATTTAGATATAGTCAATAGATTTTGAAGTTATTCAATTTGCTCTTCATGTATCAAGTGGAATGTTGTGATGAACTCGCATTTCCACTTAACATATGATCAATAAGCATAATGTGTAAAGGGATGGTTGTATGAAGCATTCAATAACTCCCTTCAAGTTCCGAGCGATCCTTTTTAGTTAATCGTCCAATCTAAAGATGACTATAGTGTAACTAATTCTTTAATATGTAATTTGAGAAAACAAAAACCTTAATCTTATAATGATCATATATTATGGAAATAGAAAATATAAGCTCCCAGTACAATGAGACATAATTATATATATATATATATATAGTTAAAATTTTACCTTTTAAATATATTTATATAATTAATTGACTTAGAACTTTTTATCTTTTTGAAAAACATATAATCTTTGAAATTGTTTAATGCTATAAAATACCACTTTATATTTTATGTATTTTACACGTAATCTTATTAATCAATTTTAACAATTTTAATATTATGCCATTTTTTAAAGTTATCATTACCACCGACATTTCTTTAAGTTCATCTTGCATATTTTACTGTTATGTCTTCTTTCAATAGTACTGTAACTAATACAGCTACTAGCACGCATCTATTTATGCATTCTCTTGTTTTGGGCATTAGTGTCTCAAAGTTCTTTCTAAATATATCTAAAGTCGAAGTCTTTAATAGTGACAACTATCAATGATGGTAAGAAATTCTATTTTTATACTTGATATGCATGGAGTAATGTAGACACTTGCTATTGCAAAACCCGGTGACATTGACAACTTGTAATTGGAGCTTCATTTGTATGCTAACAAGGTATGTGAACCAACAAAAATTAACATTTGGTTTAACAAGATCTTGATATATATATTGTTACTATGATGATATAAAAGAAATATGAAGCATGGAGTAATGTAGGCACTTGCTATTGTGAAATGTAATGATATTGACAACCTGAAATTGGAACTTTAATTATATTTTAACAAGGCATATATGTAACGGCCCCGGAATTTTAAAATGAATTGTATATTAAAAATATCAAATGCGGAAGTGAAGTCAAAAATTGGATTAACATCCCTTACACTAAAACCAAAAACGTGCTTATAAAATATAAAAAATCAACTATCTAAAGGGGAAACTTGAAAGTAAAAGCTACGAATATGACTATGGAGTCTTTAGGTGTCCCTTTCGTCGTCCTCCTGCGGAACCGGCTCGGGAACAATGTCTTCCTGATCTGAAATGATTAAATAAGGAATGAGCTACACTAACCCAGTAAAGACATCACGATATCTCACCGTCACGGAGGTAAAGGTGGGTAGAAAACACAAAAAGACCAATAGAGCATAATTTACAACAAATCTTTTTATCAATAATAAAACCTTTACCATTCACTTACCTCGGTGAAATTCATAAAACAATATACGAAAGCAATAACATCATCATCATCATGAAATCATATATAAACTGTATAATATAATACTTATCAAGCCTTTCGTAATTCAATCGTTACACAATATATTTTCCTCATTTACCAGCCCACTAGTATCCATGGGGATCCATAGGGGTCCCGCTACCCGTTAACCCTTAACGCTTGAAATCATATTTCAGGGCCGTCCCCATACCCCGTCCGGTATGGGCGCCAAAACTATAAACCTCATTACCCCATCCGATATGAGGGTGAAACGGGCCGTCCCCATACCCCGTCCGGTATGGGCGCCAAAACACATAAGATCTCCATACCCCATCCGGTATGGGAGACCACAATCCCGGTAGGGTTCCCTACGGACCCGGTCCGTCCACCATCTCCCAGGATATCTAGTCAGGCTGACCACATTATACGATTACCCATTTACATAATCTTTCATTCTCATTTTTCCTCAGTCAACATCATCAATCCACATACAAACTAACACAACGGTAATTTACGCAAAACAGACAACATACAACATCAATATCCCAGTCATTCAATCCATAATCAATAAAACAGTAAAATATGCACACGAAACTATAAAATGAAAACATCAAATCTCATACTGCATTTAAAACTGTAAAACATGCCAAATAACAGTTAACCGACAAACATACTAGACTCGGGCTCCATTAGCGACCTTAAGCAATTTCACACATTCGTTGATTCAAGAAATACCGTTTTATCATTATTGAACTTTAATACCGTGATAGGAAATAGGGTGAGGGGTCCTTACTCGTTTCGGGGTCCGAACACGGCTTCACAGTGCGCCTACAGGCTGTCCCTAATTTTTCCTGAATTTTTTCCGGGGAACTGAAACGCACTACTGGTACCTGCATGTGTTCAAAAAAATCCCAAATTAGGCCCAGGGCCCCTTTCGGCCAATATCGCAATTCCGGCACGGCGGCTCCGCCGTGCTCCGGCGACGGCGCCGCCGCAAGCAGCGGCGATTTGCCTCGGTTTGGCCGTTTCCGGCCGAATTCGGCCACACTTGCATCGATCCTTGCGATTAAACAACTCTAGGGCCCTTGGGGGGCCAAAATATTACGGAAAACTGAAGCTTACCAGCGGCGGTGCTCTCTGGTGCGGCGGCTCTCCGGTGAAGTTCGTGTTTTGGTGATTCGGCTCCGATCAACCTGTAGAGAAAAGAATGGTGATCACGGTGATATAAAAATTGCATTAAACGGAGGCCGGGAAGGGCCTCATCGGAGGCAAAAACTGAGGAGGGGCGCGGCGGTGCCGCTGGGTTTCGGTCGTGTTTTTCGGCCGTTTGGCCAGGATTTTGGCTCCGATTTGGCCACAGGGGAAATCAGCGTGGAAAAACGAGTCGGGGGTATGAAATTTACCTCGATCGGCGGTCGGAAATCCCTCCGGTTCGGCGGCGGGTGGCGGTGGCCGGCTTCTGGTTCGTCTTCTCCGGCGAGGGCAGGCGGCTAGGGTTTTGTGGTCTGGTGTGGGGGTCTTATTTATACCCTTTTGCGTTTTGATCTCACCCGTCCATTTTGATTTAATCTGGGCCGTCCGTTTTTGATTGAATCTGGGCCGTCCGTGCAATTGCATCTGGGCCGTCCGATCGCGCATACGCGGATCGCCAACGTGGCCCGTCCCGGATCGACGTGGTCTTGCCACGTGGCAGGTCCCGGTTGGCCGGGACTGCTGACGTGGTCTTGCCACGTGGCAGGTCCCGGTTGGCCGGGACTGCTGACGTGGCCCTTTTTTTTGTCTCTTCTTCTTCAATTTCCCGGGCGCTACAATATAGATCTATAAAAATTAACATTTGGTTTAATGAACTTTTAATAGCAAGTGTTAAAGAAATATGGAATTCAATTATAACCAAATATAGTGTTAAAGATGCTGAAAAAAAAAAATTCTCTAGAAAATATTAATGATGAGAGTAATAAGATAACAAAGAAAATAAAATACAAATTAATGAATATCACAAGTTGTTGGAAGACTTGACAACAAAAAATATTTTCATTTAAAGCGAATTTATTGTAAGTTTCTTGATTTGAAAGTACTAGAATTATAGAGTAACTATAAATAGGAATTGAAACATAAGCACAAATTACTATCACTTGTACATTTGATCACACACATCATTATTAGAGATACAAGCCTAAAAGATCATAAAACTAACAACATAAAGGAGATGACTTTTTAGGAAAATATAATGCAACAAAAAACTCACAACACTATAGAAAAAGTATGAAACGCAAAGCCTCGATTTTAGAAAAAAAGAAAAAAGAAGTTTTTCTTTTGTTTGTGGCAAACTTGATAATCATGCTCTTCAATATATATAGAGAATGAAAAACAACATTTATGCAAACTAAAGATAATTTGGTATAAACAAATTGTACAATTGTAAGAGTCATTTCTTAAAAACTATTATAATCAACATGAAAGAACAAATAATAATTTGTGCTACAAGGCATATTTGTGTAAGTAAAGATGTAGTTATCTCTTATGTTTCAGCAAGGATGGAGAGTAAACTATATATCTCAAAATACATAAGTTCTTTGAAGAAGCAAGGTTCTTCTTAAACTCACATCTAGTAAAACTCTTAACTTTGAATTATGTGATGCATGTTCCATATTAGAGCAAATCTAATAATATGTTGATATTGGAAAAAAGTTTGGGTTATAACTGTCATTCAAATTTTACAAAATCATAATAGCAAAAATAATGTTTTGTGGCAAATATTTCTGTAAGCATGAAATTTGTATTCAGCATTTCTAAAATAACTAATGAGAATGTTGCATTTGTACTCATTTCTTTACCTCTTACATTCATTTACTTGACTCATTTGATGTGAGGCATGGTAGATTATAGCATACTACTTAATTTTATATAAAAATGACAAATATTTGTTTTATTAGTAAAATAAACTTTAAATCTTGAATAGTATAAATAAATTTGAGATGTGTGCTAAAACCAATTTGATAAAGAAAAATTGTTCATATATTAAAAGAAGAATTGATCTATTAAATTTAATTCATGATAACTTCGGATATTCAAGCAAACTATAATTAACGATGGGAAAAAATATTATGCTTTGTAGAGAACACTATTCTAGATATATTAAAATATTTTTACTAAGGAATAAAGATAAAACTTTTGATATATTTCTTTTATATAAAGCTGAAGTAGAAAATAAATTTAATAAAAAAATAAAGAGCTCGATTAGATAAAGTGGGAGAATATACATTGTCCAATAATTAACATGAAAAAAAGAAAAAACTGTACATGAAATTACATAATAACGCATGTTACTCCTCCTTATTTCTTTAAATCAAATGGAGTAGTTAAAAGGAAAAATATAACTTTAAATCAAATCAAATAAATTCCATACTTATTAAATTATTTAATATACGTACCGATCTGTTAAACTTAGCTATCAAATATGAAGACGAGAGAAATAGAACAAAATAAAAATACATATAAAGTAAATAACTAAAAAATATTCCAAAGCACTACGTGTAATGGGTAACGATATGCATGGCATGGGTCCTAAAGCAATAATAACTCCTATTAGTAGATTGTTTTTCTCCAGAGGATTTTTAAGTGTCTCTGACCTAAAGTTGGGATTCTCGGATCCTCATAAAAATATTTTAGCAATATTTTCAAATCTTTAATCTTTGTAGCTCTTATTAAGTCTTCTTCTAATGATAAAACTGATCACTTTGTTGTTACAAATAGTTTTTTATTTTGAAATAACTTAAGTTTAGAAACAAAATAATTTAATATGGGTAGTTTTGCTAAACAACGTATCATACAATTTAAGTAATAAAAAAAATCCAACAACTATTTTTTTAAAATAATAGAAAGTATCACATATTCTTACTCATAAAAACTATAAGCTTATAATAAAAATGAACCAAACAAAATTTTCTAAAGAAAACATATTGAGACATAACATGATATGAACTTCCATGATGAAGACATTAAAGTTATGAAAATAACATAATAATTTTATGAAAAAAATGGCACTCACTAATGAGGTGAGAATAAATCCAATAAGATAATGTGATGTACACATTTATAAGACAATGTACCAATAATTCATTTACTGAAAATATTTTAATCGTTCTGAAAACAACACAAATTATTATAATGACAATATATGGACTTGCTTTAAAAAGTAAAATAAAATATAATGTAAATAAGATGTAGTCAAATAGTGATAGACCATAAATGCTGAAAGATAACGTGAGAATATGTGTGTAAATACTACTTTTACAATCAGGAAATTATATTTTATAAAAATAATACAACCACTTTTAAAATACTAAGTATTAATATGGTAGCTCTATATCAATATACATAAATAATAAAAATTTATAATAAATTAAATTATTCAGTACGAATATGAGTATCGATCGTTTTGTATATATCGATTGTTTTTTAAAATACTTTTATAAAAATAAGTTTATAAAACAAACTATTGTATTGGAATATCATGCAACTAACTAAACTAAACCCTAAAACATAAACAATAATTATAACCGATAAAAGAACTCCTAAGAAATGCATAAATGAAAAGACATTATCCATTAATTGTTCTAGTTTATGATCTTGTGGATTATAAAATTTATTTTATGTTACTTTTTAAGCTCTCAAATGTTTTAGTGGTTAATTTATTATAAATTAGTAATTAAAAAAATGTTGCTTAATTAAAATTAATTTCAAATTATATTTAATATTACAATTATTCATGTAATCTTGGCTAATTAATTAAGGATAAGTATTATCAATATCATAAGATTTTATTTCTTTTTATTAACTTGCTGAGGCCATCAGCGACCGTCCATCATCTTGTGATTTGTAATAAGAGAAACCGGTATCCTACTGCTTGGTTCATGACTGTATTGACCCAGTAATAAAGCTAGGCAAAGGGGGAAGGCCAACCCCAAATCGCCATCCGCAATCTCACCGGAGACTATCACATCTCCCTTCTCTCCTCTCCTCTCATCTACCAGATCGCTCTGCTATTTCTCAGGTCTCTTCTCCGTTTCTTATCTCTCTCTTTCTGTTTCTCGGTCTTTCGAGTTTCGATTGCCTATTTACCTACCGACTTCCTTTATTCTCAAGGTTGTATTTCGTTCCTCTCTGCGGAGGAAGGTGGTGCGGAGATTAACGGACCATCTGATAAATAATGGAGAGCGAGTTGGTGGAATTGTTTGAAGCGGCAAAGAAGGCGGCAGATGCGGCGGCCCTTGACGGAGTATCTCGCAATGGACCTGAGATATCGCGATGCATCGATGCTTTGAATCGACTCAAGATATTTCCTGTATCTTACAATGTTCTCGTCGCCACTCAGGTATCTCGCCGTTTTACTGTTTTCCCGTTTTAATTGCATAAGATATATCGTTATCATCTATCATATAATGTTCTCTTCAGCGGAGAAAGAAAAAAAAAAAAAAGAGGGAAAGTAGGGGAGAAAGGGATTCTGGTTAATTATTTGTCGAGCTGCACCTATATATCAGCTTTGATCATTGATTGAATATGTTGTGATTGCTGGTAACATTGATGAGAAGAAAATACTTCTGTGAAAACAAGGAACAAAGATTTCTCTTTCTCTATACCTAAGCATTTCTCCTGAATTACTGTTTGCAATTTTTTGGTTTCTGTGTAAGATGAAGAATAAGAAGTGTAAAAACTTGTGTTTGAAGGCAAGACTCTTTCTTTTGCTTTTGCTTTTGCTTTTGCTTGGGGTTCCTGATAAACCGAGGTGCTAGCTTTCTCTATCAAATAGCAAGAGAAAACTAAACTAGACTATAAAAAATTAATTTGTAAATAACAAGAAACAAGATTCCCTCAGTTTTTCCGTCAGACTGACACTAAGCTTCTCTCTTGCTAAGTGGAGGCACCTTATCTGCTGTTATTGATAGAAATTCGAAGTTATGGTATCCCTAAATACCAAAAAACTAGGAAGTTGTTGAATTATTCTGCTGTCAGCACATGAAATTTATTTGATTTCCATCATATGTCTATTTGAGTTAGCACATAATTGCTCTGGTTTCCATCCAGTTTCAAATTTCTTGATTGATATTCTTTTAAATGGTCTTATTCGTTAGATATACTTTACCTTTTTTACTGACTGTACATAAATACTTTAACAAAAAGGAATATAAGAATATATGCTGGAGGGAAGATAAAACTCCGGTGACCTAGTCCCTGCTTTTTTGTGTCCATTGATTTAAGCTGTCTGCTGTCCTTTTAATAAGAAAGATGATAATGGGCAATGGTTTTTCAGAGAACTATCTGACTGTGAATTGCATTTTTTTCGGAAGAACTGTCAAATGCTTTTAACCATTTCAATTACTTGCATTATCCTCTGTATGGATTTTACCATAGAGCAAACAAGTAGAATAATTTGTGCTCTTGTTATATATGTATTTATTTTTTTCGGGGATGTTATATGTATATTTCTCTTTTCGTGATGGACTAAAGTTCATTTTATTTCATATTACAGGTTGGAAAAAAGCTTCGGTCTCTCACAAAACATCCTGCAGACAAGATACAAACTGTTGCTACTGACTTGCTTGAGATGTGGAAGAAAGTAATCATTGAAGAGACAACCAGAAATAAGAAAAGTGGAACTAGTAATAATATACCGTCTGCAAAAACTCAGGCAGCAAAGGTGGAGAATGTCAAAGTTGAGAGAGTTCAAAAAGAAGTGCCAGTGAAGGTTGAAAAGGTTTCAAATGCTCAGCCAGTCAAAGTTGAGAAAGCTTACAAGGGTGATTCAACAAGAGCTACTAAGTTTGAGAAAAAAGAAGCAGAAGTGGATGCTGTCATGGGTGAGAATACCCGCAAAGAGGAAAGACATGCATCTATAAAGAGACCATCTCAGGCACCTAATGCTCCCCCGAAGCTGACGTCATTGATCAAATGTAATGATGTTTTACGTGACAAAGTTCGGGAACTCCTTGTGGAGGCCCTGTCCAAAGTTGCTAATGAGGCTGATGATGACATTAGAGAGGAAGTAAATGCAAGTGATCCTATCCGGGTTGCTGTTGCTGTAGAATCTGTAATGTTTGAAAAGATGGGTCGGTCAAATGGTGCTCAGAAGTACAAATACAGGTCTATAATGTTCAATATCAAGGACCCAAACAACCCAGATTTGAGGAGAAAAGTTCTTCTAGGAGAGATCAAGCCAGAGAGGCTTATCAGTATGACCGCTGAAGAAATGGCAAGTGATCAGAGGCAGCGGGAGAATAACCAAATCAAAGAGAAAGCTTTGTTTGACTGTGAGCGTGGTGGTGCACCAAAGGCAACAACAGATCAATTTAAGTGTGGTCGGTGTGGTCAGCGGAAATGCACTTACTATCAGATGCAGACGAGGAGTGCAGATGAACCCATGACGACCTATGTAACATGTGTAAACTGCAACAATCACTGGAAATTCTGCTAATGGATTTTCTTCAGGTTTGCCATCTGCAAGTGCAGGAAATAGAGGTCATAATCGTCGGAGAAGCTTTATCCATTTTACTGGGATTCGCTATTTGAGTTTTTCTTCTCATTCATGTAGGAGATTAATTCATGTTATTCAACTATAGGAACAATTTACTTCAGGGATGATTAGCCATTTGTCTTACTTTGGTCAGTGTCTCAGAAGGAGTCCAATCCTTTGAGAGAATCTGATTGTTTCTGTTGATTTTAGCTTTTTTGTTGTGTTAGTTTTGTCTGTTAGATGAATAGAATGCAGTTTAAATTTAATGTCGCAAATTTCTTAGAGCAACTCTTTGAATGTAGTATAGTATGCCCTGCCGAGTAGAGTACTAGATTTGAAGTTGAGGAGTTCACAGATGTGGATTGGAGACTACAATTGAAGAGACTTATCTATATATCTAATATTTTTTTATTGATACGTTCTTTTTGCAAATTAGTTTGAATGATAAAACACTTTTAACTAATTTATTTACATAATTATAGATTTTGACAATTATATCAGATGTTATATATGCACAAAATTGATGTTTCCTTAATTTTAGATATTTCCTAGTTTCTAATTTTTTTAAGGTTTTTCTTTGTTCTGTAGTAATTTTTTAATATTTGATCATATAAAAGGAATTTGTCTACTTATTTTTTTTGGGAAACTTTATTTTTCCTGTTATTAGACTTAGTATGATTTTTTTGGTTATACCGCATACATATAAAAAATTATATCTATGACAAAAATTAAAATTCTCAGTGAGATGTACAGTAAATATAGTTAAAAAATAAATATTATTAATAGATAAAAATAAAATATACGTAGAGTAATTACTACTGAATGGTATTTTAAAATACCCTGCTTATTTAGAGATGTCTTTTGTGTATGCTAATATTTCATAAGACGTACTTCGTTACTCTTGAGTGTATTTCCGACCATTTTGTATATGCAGTTAATATTTTTTTAATATTATAATATTTGAGTATATTAAGCTCTAAACGTTTTAAATATTTTACTAGTGGTACATTTAGAAAATATAACTATATTATGTTATAGTTTATGTTTATAAACTAGTGTGGTAAGTAATTATATTATATTATTTACACTTGCATGAGTTAAAAGAGTATTTATTTACTACTTACAACAAACTTTTAAACACATTGTTTGATTTAATAACATTAAATATCATACTTATTAGGGCATGAAAAATAACTTATAAAATAAAAAATAAATGTAAGTTTCCTAACTTTTTACTCTTCATTTAAAGAAATTATTCAATTATTTTTTTATATCTTTTAAAAACAATACTGTATATATTATTGATTAATGGGAGACCGACAAATAATACTTTGTAACGTCACATGTGTAATCGAATGTTAAACCGTTTAAATTAAATAAATCTCAAATTTAAACTTTAATTCATGCTTTTAAATTATAAATAATTAATTAAAGCATAACTTAAACCCTTAGAAAATTATTAAAATAGAAATTTATCCTTAAATGTATTTTCAATGCTTTTAAATTCATCCCTAAATTGAAATTTTGTCCGCCCCCCGTATTTCTCCATCGAGTGCATCGATCTTATTTATGAATAAGAAAGACGAGACTCAATGGTTGTGTACTAAATGGTTGTGTACTTAATGGTTGTGTATTGACTATAGAACGCTCAACCAAATCACATTTAAGAATATGTATCATCTACCAAGAATTGATGATCTCTTCGATCAATTATAAGGTACTAATTTATTCTCAAATATTGATTTGAGGCCCGGATATCAACAGATAAAGATTAAGGTTGAAAATATATTAAATATCGCATTCATGACAAAGTATGACCATTATGAATTTTAAGTCTTACCTTTTGGTTTAACTAATGCACCAACGATGTTTATGGATATGATAAATCAAGTATTCAAGCTCTATCTAGATAAATTTTTCATTATTCATTTATAATATCTTGACCTACTCCAACAATAATGATGAACATGCCGAACACTTGAGATACATTTTAAGGACCCTTAAAAGAGAAAGATTATATGCTAAGTTGAACAGGTATGAATTTTACCTCAATGGAATCTTCTTCCTCAGTCATGTTGTCTCTAAAGATGGGATAATAATGGATTATGCCAAGATTGATACAAAAGTGAACTGAAAACGTCCTACAATTGTTTCAGAAATTCAGAGTTTCCTAAAGTTGGCAAGTTATATTTTAGATTTGTTGAAGAATTCTCTAAGATTGAAACTCCCCTTACTCAACTTATCAGAAAAGATGTAAAGTTCGAATGGACTGATGGTTGTAAAAACAACTCCAAAGTATAATAGATCCATCCACACAATGTGACATGGAATATGCCTTTGATAGCCAACATTTTTTTTCACAAGTGAAAGCTCAATATATTGTAAGTGTCCCTCTTAGCCTATGATCTATATGATGAATTCATTTAGCAATGTTAAAAGATGACCAACATGCTATGGAAAGCGGATACTATAGAGTTAGAAAAAAACAAAAAATAGAACAAGCCTTCACTAAAAGAACATGGACAAATTGAAGAAGTTATGACATAAACTGGTGGTACCAGTAGATGAATCAAGTAGCACTTATTCAATAAATATAACTACACGTTAATATAGTCATTACAACGTACGTTATATAATTCATTACACATTAATATAGTCATGATTAAACATAAAATCCCACCATAAATATGATTGAGCATGGTTTATGATGATTTAATGGGGAATATGCTGAAGTAGAAACCAACAATGCCATAACGGAAAAAAAATGTACCCTTAAACCTTAATTATGAAACTCGCACAATACTTATATGATTATGAATAAGCAATAGGGCATGAATATTGCATAACACATATTCCACCTCCATCCTTATTCCTACTTCATAGGTCATGCCTTTTGCAAGTTATCTCAAGCTAAATATTGATGTCTCCCTTAGAAATAATGGTTGAGCATGATTTGGTATAATATCTAGATATTATAATGGTAAAGTAATCTTTATAGGTATACGACATTTGCTTTTGTTTGATAACATTAAGCTTGTTGAGCTATCACTTTAAAATCAGTATTGAATTAGCACATGAAAAAGTATACAAATCTCATCATT